GAAAATTCCTAAAGTATATTGGGACTTCTCAAAAGATTCAACTATACTGCGAGTAATTTGGAGTATTGTGTGTTTTATCGAGTTATTTTTTTTGAACCCGAATTGATTGATATATATTATATTATTTAAGATGATTACAAATAACGTTACATAAAATTCTTTCTAAAACTTTAGAAAAACAGAAAGAACAGAATTCGGGCGATAATTTATAACATTGGTTGGATCGCCTATCTTATAAACCGGAGTGACATTAACTATTTTAAATGATCTGGAAATATTCCCTGTTTTATTGAACAATGAAAAACTTTAAATAGTACATCTTTTAAGGATTCATACAAGTCGATGACAACTTTACTATTAATTACATGGTGACCAACGGATTTATTTATTTGAAGCATTAAGATTCTTCGAATTTTTCAAAGAAAATACTTTTAAAACTTATAGATCATCGACCATATCACTTAAAGTTTGAGATGTGGTGGTAGATATTGGCGGGTGGCTGATATTGCCCTTAAATTAACACCAAGCAAAAATTGATGAAATCTCAAATGATCTTCCATTTCCACTTATAAATCTTTACACTACACAATCGTACTTTATTTTAATAACTGTATAGGGGAAGTGGGGGCATAACCGCCCCCGTAACGTTTGGAATAATGTTATATGAAAATAAAAACGAAATGTGTTTTTTTAGCAGTTTATTTCAATAACCACATCATTAAGCTTTAAATTGATGCATTTAAGAAACAAATTAAACAGGTTTTGAAAATGTTATTACACAAAAATTACACTTAGTGAAAAAAACGGTTTTGCCCCCATTGTGAGGCACAACCGCACCCTCAAAAAAATCGATGGGGCTACACCTTTTATGGTACATTTTTTTTTACAATTTTCACAGCTCAGATTATTTGATGATTTTGTTGCATGTTTGCATATTGTGCAGGCATTCTTTGTGTTTACATTTTGAGTTCTGCCCCAGAAGAGAGTTCTACCCCAGAAGAGAGTTTTTAGAAAGAATTCAGTTTCATTGATTAATTATTATTAGATTATGGTATTATCAAAAATGACTTTCACTTCATGAAATAATGCTGATAACACATATTTTTGACACTAAAATTAAATATTGCTTAATTCTCAAAAAGAAGGTCAGGAAAAATATGATGTAAGTATAATATTTTTATCAAAATAAAAATTATTATTCACAACTTCTCAGAAACTTAACAGTCACTCTTTTTGACATATGCAAAATGAAGGAAACTGTTTTACTAATGCGTGGTATGTTTTTTGCCATATTAGATAACATTTTTTGAAGAGAAATGTTAAAAAACGGTTGTGCCTCCATATGCGGTTATGCCCCCACTTCCCCTATAGCCAAGGTCCAAAAAAATGTAAGTATATATATATATATATATATATATATATATATATATATATATATATATATATATATATATATATATATATATATATATATATATTTGTAGCAGATGCGCGCTTTGTGTAGCTTTTCATGGTTACGTTTTAAATGGTTCCATAGATAGATAAAGTTCCAGTTTTCTAAACAGAATACTTTTTATTGCAATTTTCCTGTTTGCATTGCCAGAATGTTTCGTTTTTTTTCAAAGAATTCTTTAAATGCCATTTTTTTGGATGTCGTTTTTTCAGTTTGTGAAATGATTAACAGATTTTTTATTACCAGTTTGTAGTACTCTTTGTAAACTCAAAATTTTCAAATTTAAAATTACTTTAAGAGAAAGCGAAGTAAAAATTGCTACTTTTGCATCTTTAGCACCAAAACTATAATGCATAACCTTGTGTATATCTTCAGCAGTCAAAAGATCATTACCAGAGTCAACGTAACTCCTTAAAATTGTCTTTGCAATTGCACTATCCCTGTCACTTAGATCTTTTCCACAACAGGGTTCATTATAATCATATCTCAGCAATTTTATATCTCTCTCTCTTTGCATACATCAAAGATTGCTTCAGCTAAAAGATTTCTCTGATTGCAGCCGGCATTATCAGATTCGGTAAACATCTTTTTGTCATGCGGTTGATCAATTTTGAATTGGTCTAAAACTGCAGTAGCTAACGAAACAACATCACCTATTCACTGATCACACCTAAACATTGAAGTAAAGTAAACACGTTTAAATAACTTTCTTGCTATTTTTATGAAGAATATATCCACATGTAAACTCATTCCTTTATTGCCAAAATAGTCTCTTTGGCCATCTATGTATTGAACCGGAAGAATTTTTTGACAAAAATCGTTAAGCCAAAAAGCAGTTTCATTGTTTAATTGCTTAAAAGCTTCGATTTTTGCCTTTTTCTGCTGAGAATCTCTCATCAGGTGTTTTATGTAGTTGAATACATCCTTTACAGCAATTTCCAAATCATAAATAGAATCAGCATCGTCAGAACTTTGAATCGCTAGTTCTTTGATCATCTCGATAGCTTTGCGCAAACGATAGCAATCAATTAAAAACAAGTTCTATTTATGCAGTCCCTCTTTCTCAATAACAATGATAAAATATCTACTCTATTTATGCAAATTTTAAAGATCGTTAAAATAAAGTTAAGACATCTTTTATGGTAAAATAAATTGTTTTATGACAACCGCCCACAAACTAGTTTCTCCACAATCGTGATATCGGCGATTCTTCGTTCCAATCAATCACCACAAGTTATATGGTTATGACGTAAATTTAAATTATTTACTTCTTATCGTATATATATTTTTATTATTATTTATTTCAATTATTATGATTTCTTTATCATAGTCAGAAACGCTTAAATTTTTTCTTAACATTACGTGCAATTTTTTCTGCAATGCTAATTTTAAATAATAGAAATTTTATTGGAAGCGAAAACTGATCCGAATCCCTCATCTGTGTGTCCCAAAAAATATCTCTTTGTACTTAATCATTTTTAACACTTTGTACCTTTAATTTTAACTTAATATCTCAAGGTCACATGAGGTTTTTTCTCAATTATGTTAGGGTCATGTTATATTGACCATTTAACATGATTATATTTTTACAAAACTTAGCGCCTCTGCCGTAATGGCTCATTTTGTAAGTATACTATAACATTTTTTTTCAATTTCAAGCCTTAATATATATTAACATGCCTTGGATATCACATAACTTTCTTTGTATTTTTAAACTTAACACCTTTGATACTTACAAATCCTAAAAAAAAATCGTGTGCAACACTTCGCCGCTAGAAATAACTCCCATTAAAAATTGACAAAACTGAGTGTTTTCGTACTTTTGAACTAAGATAATTAGCCAACCACGCAGTGTCACACAATTTTTTTTTATTTTTTGGAGAGAGTTTTTGGGTTACGTCTGATATTAACTACAAAAGCTATGTGCAACTTTTTGCCTTGCCAAAAAAATAGGTTCAAAGGTGGCAAAAACTAAATTTCAAAAAAAAAATTTAAAAAATCTCAAAAATTTAGGACCAGATTCCAAGTGAACGAAACATTTTTGAAAATTTTTTTTCCCCAAAAAAATTTTCTCTATATTCTAATCAATATATAAAAATTCAAGCAATTTGGAGGAGGTCACTTCCACAGTTTCAGGAATTTGCTTGATTCTTAGATTGAGTGTGGTTATTTTACTATTAATAATTTGTCAGGCAGGTTTTTGTAAATAAACTTTTTTTTTAAGTTTTTAGATTGATATCTTTCCTATATTATATTTCCATAAATGGTTTTAACAAAAAGTTTTTTCTATTTATGGTATATATATAAAGTATGTTGCGTTTTCTCAGCGTTTGTTAGTCCTAAATCCATCATCTCTTTTCTTTAATTTTATATTCAAATCTGAATTTAACTACTTAGTATTTTTTACAAACTCTAAAATATGCTTTGAGTCTCCTTAAGTTTTGTTTAGAAAATCATCACTTTACATATGAAGGCTTGAAAAAATAAACAAAATTTTCTTTTTTGGATTTTGAACTAAAAGATCTGAAATTTCTGATGAGCGATGCCAATTCTATTTATTTTATACTAAACATTGAAAATAAAATTCTGTAACAGCAATCTTATGAGATAAATAAAATTAATTAAGATAAATCTTTGAAGTCAAATTAAAATTATTTTTAAAACTTTATTTAAATCTAGGTAATTCATAAATATCACCTGATTAAATTAACTCTGTAATGTTTAAAACTGAAATACTTTAAGTAAGATACAACAAATTTAAATTTCTGTTTTTTTTTTTAAACTAAACTCTTAATAAAATGTTTTTACTAAGTTTAAGAACTTACTAATCTGATTAATTACTGAATAAAACTTCCTTTAAGTCATCTTACCAATAAAAACCGACAAAAAAAAAACCTCACAAAAGCTCCTCACATATACTTGTTAGTAGTTCACTCGATAATACTAAGTCAGATTTGTCAAGTGTTTTTTTTTTTTTCTTTTTTTGCTCAAGGAAAGTTTCAAACAATATTTCAACCTTAAGTAGAGTATTGCACACTCCATAAGATTTTTATCATTATACAATATTTTCATAACATATTACAACTATATATATAACATATTACAACTATATATATAACATATTACAACTATATATATAATATATAATTTAATGATGTTTTTGATCCAATAAAAAGGCCTTTTTTCTCGTGGAAATATTTTTTTGCAAGTTGGTAATAATAGTTTAAAAAAAACATCAACAACGATTAAACAAATTTAAACATGAATAAAAACGTCTCTTATTAAATTTAGAATGTATTCGTCTCTATTAAATAAAATAAAATAAACTAAAAATTATTTATGGACGTTCTTAACTAAATCCTTATAAATAATAACTAAAATATTAATAAAATACAACTTCTAGTTATTATTCCCTCTTTGAAAATATTTTTAAGTTAGAAAAGCTTTCAAGTTGAATTTTGTTGTTTTACATTTGTTTAATGTAAGTAAAAAACTTTTAAAACAAATGATAATTTTAAATAGTTTAAATAAATGATAACAAATAAAAAGCAGTTTAAAACAAATAATAAACTTTTTACAAATGGTTTCAAAAATATGTAATAAAAATTAGGGTGTCAAAAACGACTTGTAAAAAACTAAACATTCTTTGTGCTTTTCAAGTTAAAAGGTTTTACCATTCACTCTTTGATAAATTTTTGCATGTGAAGCTTTATGTTTAGAGTTTTTTTTAACAATCTTTTATTTCCAACGTGCAGTTGAAGTAGAGTTTTCGCCTAAAATTAAAAAAAAAATTTATCAACATTATTTTGTAAAAAGTGTTCAATGCGCATTTGAAAAAAGTCATATTAATAGTAAAATTCAAAAAATTATTAAAACATTGCATTCAAATATAAAATTGTTTTGTTTTTTTACCTTATAGGAAAATGTAAAATAGAAAAGACGTATGGTGTTGTTATTGGTGAAAATGCGGGTTAGAAGGAGCACGTAAATATAATTCACAATAAAATTTCGAAAAATATTGGTCTACTTTACAAAGCTAAGCTGTTATTAAATCAAACCTGTTTAAATACCTTTATTTTTCATTTATTTATAGCTACCTAAGTTATGCAAACGTTGCCTGGTGTAGCACTTACGTAACTAAAATAAGTAAACTATTAATTAAACAAAAGCATGCTGTAAGAATTATTGGAAATGTAGATCGTTTCTCACACACTAAACCTCTATTCATTAAATTTAATATTCTCAACGTATTTCAACTAAATCTTTATCAAATTCTTATTTTTATGTTCAAAGTTAATAAAAAAATATCACCTATTTTATTTGACTCATTTTTGGAAAAAATAAAGCATCTATACCCAACACGATTTTCAGAAAACAATTATATTCAACCTAAAACCTATTACTCTGTTACTAAGTTTTCAATTGCAAACAGAGGTCCTAAACTATGGAACACACTATTGAATAATGAGTTAAAAACTATTTCTTCTATTAAACATTTTAAAAACAAACTTAAGCAAAAGCTTTTAATAGATGACAACGAATTAAAACTTTTCTGAATCCTTTGACTAGGAGTAATCACGTTTGTCTATTTATTTTATTTCTTTATAAATATGGTTTAAATATATATTCTGTATATACTGTTAGTCAATTTGTACATTATGACGTTGTTTTTTTTGTTTGTTTTTTTGTTTTATTTTATATAATAAACTTTAATAAAAAACATATAATAAAAGACACATTAAGTTACTAGCAATGTTTTTAAAAATGTTTGTTTTTTGTTTTGTTTGTTATTCGTGTATTATTGTTATTTTATGATCTAAATTCAAAAGGTTTATGAATCTAAAACCAGTTAGAAAAAATGAATTTAATTAATAAAATATTTTTATACTTTTGGATATATTACACTCTAACATAGCGTGAAATGTATTTAATTTTATTTTTACTTAACGTTACATTTTATTTAACGTTATTTTATTTTAACGCAACGTTTTATTTAACGTTTATTTAACGAGTTACTTTGCTTTGTATTTTTAATATTGACAGTTTTATTTAAAGGGGCATGGTGATAAGACTAAACTAGTCTTTTTCTTGCCCCAGCCATGTATTATATATTGTATTGCACAAACTTGTAAAATTTTTTCATTGGCGAAATACATAATAATAATAATAATAAGAAGAAGAAGAATAACAATAATAACAATAATAATAATAATAATAATAATAATAATAATAATAATAATAATAATAATAATAATAATGAAAGTATAATAGATTAGCTGAAGATGTGACCCTTTAAAATTGCAAAAAAATCGTTTAAAATAGGGATATAATTATTTATTTGGTAAGTGAAAATGGCGTCTTTGGGTTGAAAAGGAAATATTTTGAAATGTAGTTTGTAAGATTTGTAAGCTGTAATTAAAATGGATTCCACTCTAAAATGTTGACTGAATAATTATGCGGTGTATTGAAAATTATGTTACAACGAAGACGGTTCAATAAAAAAAAGTTATAAAGCTGTAAAAACAACGTATTTTTGTGGCTATACAAGCTGTAATATATTATGAATCATTGAATAATAATAAAAAAAAAATACAGGAAATTTTTTAAAATAATTAGATTTGGTTTGAAGAAGAAGAAAACATAAGTTGCCGTACTGTCGATTTGTTTTATGTCCCATCCTTTTCTTTTGGACATTTTGTACTTATAACATTGGTAAGTAAAACGGAATAAATTCCTCGTTAAAGGTTTTTCTCTGGTGCTTTGTGATTAGACAGTTAGGTGTTCTTGAAGCATTCTAATTTACAAGAAAAACAACAACAACAACATCAATAAAACTTTAAATTCTCTCTATGAGGTGCATTTAAAATTTTTTTGCATATGTTATTTTTATGCCTTTCATTAAAGATTGAGTGTGGTTGTTTTACTATATATAATTTGTCAGGCAGGTTTTTGTAAATAAAAATTTTTTTTTAAAGTTTTTAAGATTGATATCATTCCTATATTATATTTCCATAAATGGTTTTAACAGAGGGTTTTCTATAGCATTTTTCTATTTATGCTATGTATAAGGTATGTTGCGTTTTCTTTGCGTTTGTTAGTCCTAAATCCATCATTTATTTTCTTTAATTCTATATTCATATCTGAATTTAACTACTTAGCATTCATTATAAACTCTAAAATATGCTTTGATTTTGCTTAAGTTTTGTTTAGAAAATTATCACTTTACATCAGAAGGCTTGAAAAATGCACTTTTTTAAAAATACGAAAACTTTTGGCCATTCAATATATTCCCACAGTTCTTTAGAAATCTAATCTTAAAAAATATATATATAATTCGATTTTCAAATGCTGCACACTTTTTGTCACAATTTAAACTTTTTGAAGAAAATACTGAAAAGTAAAGTGTAAACCAGCTCAGGTAAATTTTATGGACCTACGAATCAAACTTGTTACATTAATCTGATTTGGGATTAGTGTTAAAAAATTTTAATAAGAGAAAAAAAAAATTATCAGTTATGCAAAAAATTAGATTTTTTTTTTTGTATTTAAATTAATACTTATCAGAATATTAAAGTTAATACTTATTAGAATATAAAATTAATACTTATTAGAATATATATATATTAATAAATATTTATTAGACAACTACTAAACTTTCATGCGTGCATAGCTTGCTATTAGCTAGCTATAGTTGTTAAATGAAAACATATGTTGTAGCAAATTAAGAAATAATAATGATTTAAAATAATAGTTAATTATAGTTATTTAATTACCTTTCTTTCTTATCTAACTATTCACTTTATTCAAAACTTATATTGCAAACACTTTTGTATTATTATCTTTTATTAAATTAAGTCCTATCATATTATTTAGTTTGTTTAAATTGACTGAAAAAATTTTAATAAAAACTAATTTGACTGAATTTGAAATAATTAATAATTAACTCAAATAAATTTAAAAAAATAATAATAATAATAAAACTTTAATTATCCATTTCTTTTATTTACTTTTTTTAAGTACTTTTCAACTTAACTACGAATTTATTTAGAAGCATTTTTAATATATAATTCATTTACTGACTACATTTTTATGCCAAACATTTATTGAGTTATTATGTTACATCTTTAAAAAAAAATAACATAAACTTACAGAAAAGACCTTGGTAATTTACAGAACAGTTGCAATAATAGCTGTTTTCTGTATACATTGGTATGCACGTGCTATTGTTTTTACAAGGTGATCTCTCGCAAGGAATACTCTAAACAAACAAAATGAAAAGGTTACAGATGCATGACCAACGACACCAGGGGGAGGAGGAGGGATTGGTGGAGGGGGGGGGGGGGGAAGACACGTGTCCTTCTTCACATCCAAATCACCCTACCCACCCCTATCTCACTTTTTTTTTAAAGAACTCAGTTTAATTTTTTATTTTATAGTATTTATATAACGACTCCAATAGCAGAGTCAAAAGAATCCAGCTAGAAACAACAACATTGGAAAAGACCCTGGGGTTCAACTATCTGCTGATCTAAAGTACAAAACCAAGTATTCACCGCTGCTGCTAAAGCTAACAAAATTCTTAGGTATGTTAAAACACACCTTTGTTAGCAAAAATGTAAAAGTCTGGAAAAACTTCTATACAACATACGTACGTCCACATCTAGAATATGCCATAACCACCTGGTGCCCTCACCTTTGAAAAGACATTACTGAAATTGAACAAATACAATATTTTGCCACAAAAATACCTCATGAATTAAAGCACCTAACAGAAGAAAACGTGGTGACCTTATCTAAAAATTCAAAATTGAAAATAAAACTGAATTAATCAACTGGCATATTGACCCAATATACATTCCTCTCATCTATGGTCATCGCAAACGCTTTCATCGCGAAATTAATAGCAGTTGCGTCGTTCAACTTAACTTTTTCAACAATCGGGTTGCAAATACTTGGAATGCTCTGTCGGATGATGTTATCAATGCCTCTACTATCGACAGTTTCAAAAAAAAAACTAGACCAGCATATTAATATATATTATATATTAGTATATTTTAGAAATTAAACTAATTTTTAAATTATTTTATTTTTGAACTCTATATCTGAATATTTTACCTGAATACTCGCATGAACCCATCCATCACTGTGCTGAATCAAATTAGGGAAAGAGTATTTGTTTTCTGATAACAACTGGCATTGAAACGTCTTTTGATTGTCTACAAAGATATTATATGATGTGCATAAGGTTGTTTGGACGCACTTTTGCAAACATAACGACTGATGCACTACGTTTATATTCATCAAAGGAGAGTTAGTTACTAAACGTGTGTTATTTATCCTTTTCATCGAAACAAAAAAAACTTTCGATTTTCCATCGTTATAATTTATCGAAGATGAAAACTTGTTTTCACACACACACACAAAAAAATTAAAACCAAAAATAATTAAAGTAGATACAAATCTTAGTTTCCAAAACATAATTTTTGTTTTTATTGCTTGATTATTTCTTTACTTAATATATTATTTTTGCAGTAAAAATAATTTATAATATAACGCGTATTTTTTCTAATGTTGTATAACTTATAAAAAATTATAAATATATAATTAGTTGTTAGTTAATACAGTTACTCTTATTGTTTCAATATATAATTTAAAATTGAATTTTAAAAATGTTTTAATTTTTAAAAATCTTATTCAAATTTATTCATTGGAAGATTCATTAAATGATTTTTTAAAGGTAACACTTGTCTTGGTTATCCTGAGATCTACCACGAGATTTTCTTACGTCATTTGATAAAAGATTTTAAAAATATAAAACTTTGCTTAACGCAAATTTTCGATTGGAACTCCTCGTGAATGCGTAAAAATCAAGTTATGGCTTATACGAACAACGTTAAAGAACTATCCTTAAATTTGTTGCTGGCTATTAAACAATTTATCTTCTATAAATGCTTTCACAGCTAATACAAAACATGATTACCCATAAAACTTGTTGCAGCCCATAAATGTTTAAGGATAAAATATTTTTACGCTAAACAAAACTTGAGATATACTTAAAATTCCTAGACATGAAGCATGTGGCAGCACAAAAATCCTAGTTTAACTTAAAAATATTAATCCTAGTTTAACTTAACAATATATATATATGTATATATATATATATATATATATATATATATATATATATATATATATATATATATATATATATATATATATATATATATATATATATATATATGCCCCTCATTTTCGAAAATTAAAAGGCACTGTTTTCCACATGCTGTCGGGTTACTCTGTGATTAATAAAAATCAAAGTATAACTCAATTGCACAAATTTTGGTCCCCGCTCAATGGGCTCAAATATCAAATTTTGACCTCTAAAGTTCATATTATAACCAGTTAGATAACCTTCAACATGAAAATCTCATAGGTATTGTTTTTTAATTAATTTTTTATGTTCATATGATCATTTTAAGCCTCACTTAATGATAATTAAATAAGATTAAGACTGTGCTCAAGAATTTTGGACCCTAAAGTTTGACCCGGTTTCCTTAAAATTTGACCGGTTTTTACAACATTTTCCAATTTGCCGCAGCAAACTAACCGACGCCGGTTTGTTTGTTTGATTAAGATTGCTAACCTTTAGGAAAACTATTTATTTGTAACTAGTTTTTTCATACAAAAAAAAATTATAACAAATGGGAACTTAGTAATGAGGAAAGGGTTGGGAGTGGGTGTCAAAGATTAGGGGAGAGGAGAGAAACTTGTACCCCCCCCCCCCATCTTTTCTAAATTTTAAAAATAAAAGATAAAGTTTAATATTATATATAAACAAAAAATAATGACTTAGCCACTCGCTTTTATTTAGTTTTAGGCAAAAACATAACAGTTTAATATAATATTTCTTCCGAAAATCAGTAATAGTGCTTTTTTGACATATAATTTTACTAAAATAAACAAAAATTCAATAAACGATGAGCGTATTTAGAATTTAGTAAAATGCTTAAAAAACCAATTGAAAACCCATTCTGCTATATTTCCATTGTATACTCATGGTATACTTTTTTGTTAGTCATTTTTACGGTGTAGTACATAAAATCTCCAAAATAAATAACCGCGGGCCCCAAAAATTTACCACTGTATATAGTTACATGCAAATTTACCTATTGAATAAGGAACCTTGGAGGGCGTAACTTTCTTAAACACATCTGTGTTATTTCTATACTAAGGAAAAGAAGTTCAATCTTAGGATCAATATATTAATTAAACTGTATATAATTGGGTCGTGTGTCATGTAATTCATGTTTTGATGGCATCATCTATAAATAGAAAACATCATGGAACATCTCAACAAAAGTCTTAGAACAAAGTAATACAACTCTTATTATATGCATTTGTTTAAAGAAATTTATGTAAGTGATTATACCAAAGAGATTTAATAAACTATTGTTAAAGCTCCTTGAATTATACGCAGTATAGTTTACGTTGTATAATGCCCAGCAATGTTCGGAAACTTCTTTTCCAGATTTTCATTAGTGAAGAAATAATGCGATTAAAAAAATAACACCCTCTAAGTTATAAATTTCAAACTGCCATTGGAGAAATTTGCATATACAGTAGAGTTCCGTTAAGTCGGATTCTCAGGGGAATTGATAAATAGTCTTACTTAACGAATGTCCTACTTAAGCAAAGCTCTTTATAAGTATGGAAAGTTCAAGGGGAGTTAAAAATCTGTCCGGCTTAGTAAAATTCCGACTTATTCAGGATCCGAGTTAACGTTATTCTGCTGTAATTATATCACTGAGCCTATACTGCAAATTTTATCATTTTATTTTTAAATTGTATACAAAATAAATATTGCAGAACTCGTTCTCTAAAAGACAGTTGACAGAACATTTTCTATATTAGAGAATTTATTAAAATCATTTATGAAAAAAAACTTATACTTTGATCTGATATCTTTTCCCGTTTTGTTTTAAATAATATAATGTAATAAGTTAATAATATTAACAATATTTTTTACATACTGTTATATAGATGTCATTTTTTAACTTAAATAAAACGCAAACTAACATACAATTCAGGGATCGCGACTCCGTTTTTTTATGTTAAAAAAATATGGAAAAAGTGTGTGTGTGTGTGGGAGGGGGGGGCATATCCTCAACACCTAAATCCTCTCAACAACTATAATCTCATTTAATATAATGTTATTATTTATTAATAATTTGTTTATGCGAAAAAAAGTAATTAAAAATAAAAAGCCCCCCCCCCCCCCGAAAGATTTGCCACCTTAATATAAAAAACAAACGACAGTTTTAAAAATGTTGTAGAAATCAGGTCTTTTTTTAAGAAACCAAGTCAAAAATTTAGTCCTTTTAATACTTGTATGTAGCCTAAATCTTATTGAATTACAATGAGATTAGGCTTAAAATGATCATAAACCTTTAGAAAACCAGATAAAAAAGATTATTACTTTATTTTAATTTATTAAAGGGTGTTTAATTTGTCGATATGCAAGTTTTTATGGTGAAAATGTAATCTTTGAGCCCGTTGAGCGGGGTCAGAAAATTTTCCAAATGAGTTTAATTTTGTTTTTTATTGACCACATAGTGCACCCACAGCATATGAAAAGCAGTGTCTTTTGATTTTCAAAAATGAGGGGCGTTTAGTCCACCCTAATATATATACACTAACGAAGAAACAGGGGGGCGGAAACGGCAATAGCCCCCCCTCCTATATAAAATACTAAGGGGGGGCGGACACAGCATTTAGCCTACCCTCTCCCCCATATATATATATATATATATATATATATATATATATATATATATATATATATATATATATATATATATATATATATATATATATATATATTTTTTTTTTTTCTTTATTTATTTAACCATAAATAATGAAAATTTACAATTTTTCACCCAAAATTCACATTTTCTTCTGCCACATCAAGGATTTTATCAGTGAAAAAAAGTCTTCCTTAGGACCATATAGTAAATAAACTGTAATAATGGTTCATAAAGATTTTTATCAACACTGTTTAAAGTATAAGCGAAACAATAATGACACATATAAAGAAAGATTGTTACGCCGCTTAATTGAAAGCGAGCATAAATTGAATTGTTAGAGATAATGAAGCAGATAATAAGAGATAATAAACATTTTCATTAGTCTTTAAACACTAACAATTTAATAAGTTTTGATATTACATTTATAAATTGTAGAGTATTTGTACTAAAAGAGTATATTATGCAATTTATAAATAATTTTTTGTGTGGAGAAAATAAAAAAATTTATCTTAAAATGTAATCAACTGAATACATCAACTTAATTTTGAATGTTAATGTATTCAACAGTGTTTCAAGTTTCAATAAAAAATTGGTTAAAAGAAACGTATTTTTTTGTTTGTTATGCCAACTGGTAGTCTTTGACCAGGTTTTGCACTATTTTTTAGCATTTTTAGCATTACAGTTGTAGCCGTAAATTTACATATAATGTATACATAGAGCAAACGGGGAAAATACTCCACTACCCAGCGGGCACAGACGTCAATCAGACGTCGTACGGAAGTCTTAACTAGGTCGCGACGTCTCAGACCAAATTAGGACGTCCAAGAGATGTCCGATAATTTAGTCTTTGTTAGGACGTCCTAGTGACGTTAACATAAAGACGTTATCAGGATATTAAGACGTCCTATTGACGTCCCTAAAACCTTCTTTAGACGTCCTAATTTTCTTAGAAATAAGTTGTCTCAAAGACGTTTAATGGACGTCTTTAAATTAAAAGAAAAATTTATTTATAACTTAAGTTATAAATAAATTTTGCTATTGTTTTGCAGTGGAAGCTATTAAAGTTCCACCACTTATATGGAACCATCAGGCCGTAATAGTCTTAAGAGAAGTAAGAAATATTTTATATAAGTGCAAGGAAGTGCTAGATAAATTATAATATTTGGAAAGATGTCCAGTATTGAGAGGTGGTGTTTAGAAGGGGAGTATTATTTAGTGATTGCGTTTGAGTTAAGTGAATGTTGGTAAAGTTAGATTTAAGTAAGTGTTGATTCAGCGCTTCGCAAGTTATTGTGTATTGTGTTTGTATTGTCCTAAACATGAAAGCCCTATGTGTCATTTAATGTATTTTCCTGTATGAATTTGTGCGTTCGTAAATAATCTAATTCTCAGTGTTGTTTACTTCCAATGTTATTAAGTTCTTTTTAAATATAAGTTTTATAACTTGAAGAATTAAGTATAATCACTCATGGAAAATATTTAGCCGCATCTGCCTTAGAGAAGAAGTGATTGATTATATTACAAACTATTATTGTTTTACTTTAATTCCAACTCTTATTATTGTTTTTACTTAATTCCAGTTTTATTTAACTTAGCACAGGTTCGAATGTAATTCATACCGTTTCGTGCAGTTGATCGTTTTATTGAATTCGATTTATAAAGATGGGCATCCTTATGATGGAAATATTTGTTTTAAATTTAGTTTATATTCACAA